AGTAGAGAAGGCACCCCAGTCTACAAACAGATGTGTCGTAACCGATGGGGCTTCTCACCGAGGCGTGGCTGGGAGAGGCGACAGCCTGGCCACCCGGGAAGCCTGCCCATGCCCCTGAGTGTGCCTCAGGGCGCGGATCTGCTGGCCAGCAGTGACCGCTTTTGAAGTTTCTTTCTCCAAACGTCTGAATAAAGAATAACCACTGCTAGCCTTGGTCAAGGAAGTAAATAAACCAAGAGGCCCAGAAAGTGACGATTCTAAGGCAGGAAGTGAACTGTTCATGGCAGAACATGACATGCGGGATTTGGGAATTCCTGACACATCTCAGAGTAAAGCCCTCTTCTGGGCGGTGACACCCACTTCTGAGACACGAAGGCACCTCGAGATCTGAGGAGAAACTGCGTTATGTTATTTCCCAGGATCAGGACTCCAAACCGACAAGGCTTCCTCAGCTTTCCTCCTAGACATGGAAAGCTGGACGTCTTGGAGAAAGCTTTTCTTTTTTTAAGGCATCGATCGTTATTTCAGCCCCCATTAAGTCCACCGGAATAAACAAGATAAAGGAGACTCGTAAAAGCTCACAATCTTATAGAGAAATGAGACTTACTGTACCCTGCCATCGATATCATTTGTAAATACGTAAGTGCCAAATGCATGACGGCTGCAGACCGTAAGAACCGTGAGGGGGGCCCCGAAAGAAGCCTCGAAAGCAAGCTGGGTGGTGAGGAGGAGGACGCACAGGATGGGTGCGGGCACAGCACGCCCGCTCGGGTCAGGACAGCAGGCCGGCGGCCTGGAGACGAAGGTAGGAAGCAGGGGGAAGAAACCCATGAACGCAATAAGATAGAAGCCACAGGGCCTCCGAGTATGGCGGCCGCTGGCCGGGTGCGTGAGCGGGAATCCAAGCCGTCTGCAGGGAGGGAGTCACTTTCTCTCTCTGCAGAGTCTCCCGGTTAACCGTGCCCCAAAGGGGTGCCTTCCTCTAGTTCAGGCAGAGGCCAGCTGTGGCCCTCAAAGCCAGGTGGTGGCGGCCCTGGATTCTGCTCCTCGGACGGTAGGAAACACGGAGAGGTGTTGAGTAAGACGGCGGCTACGATGTGGCCATGACGGGGCGGAAGTGCCAGTCCGCAGAGCGAGCGGGGGACCAGGCTCGGGAGCGTCTCCCGGAGCCCAGGCACGGTCTGGCTTCGAGAGAGCACGTGGGACAGGCGGGTCAGAGAAGGCCACGTGCTGCAGGAGAGACGGGAAATGACCTCTGCGTCGGCGTCCCCCTGGGGGGGTGGCCGGGGTGCCCAGGCGGACGGAGGTGCAGCCGTCACGGCTCTGCGAGCCCCTCGTAGGCAGGGACTGCCTCTCTTACTGGTCGTTCAGTCTCCAGAGGTTAGCACGGTGCCTAGAATATGATCGTGTAATTTCTCAGGACGCGATCGCTTGACAAGTGAACGAACAGAAACAGGGAGCGCCTCTCAGTCTGCAGCTCGAATGGCCCCCTCGAGAAGCTTCCCAGATGCCCTCGGCACTGTGCTCAAACCGAGTTCGACCTCCAGGCGGCCCTGTCGCTGTCTGCCACCCGGGCCCTCCCTGGAAGGTCCCTTGAGGCCGTATCTTATGTATCTCGGGCCTGATGGGCACTCTGTCAATGCTTTTGGACAGGTAAATAAGTGGTTTAAGATGGAAGAAAGAGCAGGCTTTTTTTTAAAAAAAGCAAGGTTTAAATATGTTGGTTTGGATTGTTCTAAGCAGAGATGGCCAGCAGCCCATGGGAAATACAGACCTCTTATGATGTAAATACGATTCTTCTCCAGAGGAGATAGAGGTGAAGTCGCTGTGCCAGGAACCCAGGGGAAAGAAGCGTGTGATAAAGAAAAGGCTGGAGACTTAGGACATCGAAATTAAATTAATTCTCTCAGTTGCCTCAATGTAAATCGTAGTAAGTACCCAACAGCCTGAGAGCTTGCAAAACGTTTACTTTTTAGGGACTAAATCTTTCATTTGTTCAACTAAATAGTAGACACATGAAAATTAAATGCATCTCCCACAACCATATGTCTACTGTTTAGATGAACAAATGAAGGATTTAGCCCACAAAAATTAAACTTGGTTGCCACTGAATAAATAATGGATTTCTAATTTAGATGGACACAGCGAGCCCTTTTCTCTGAGGCAACTCCAAATCCTTTGCGGACATGATTTGTCATTCATCCATTTATTCAGTAGTTATTGAGCATTGATTACATACTAGATCTCGTGTTTTAAAAGTTACTGAAAATAATTATTGGGTTATCATGGCATCCTCACAGACTATCAGTATTACTGGTAATAGAACGAGAGAGAATGTGCACCGATACGTGGAATGTGTTCATTTTATAACCTACTTTTTCATTGACGTCTTTTTACTCCATTAAATATTTTCTACCCCAATCTCACTAACGGCCTTTCCTGTTTTGGGACCCGTCCTCTCGCTGAGCACATGTTGGCTGCTAGCTAGAGCTTACAGGTCAAAATTAAGGGTCGCGTGGCCTCTGGAAGCCGAGTCTGCATGCACCCCAAGTGCCCCCAGACACTCTGTGGGACCCTCAAAGTAACACTGGCTCCCGCCTAGTAGACACCCCTCACTGGCCAGGCCGCAGTGACGGGGCATGGGGCGTGATCAGCAGAAGGGCCGGCCCTATCCTGGGGGTCGGGGGCCGGCCTGGTCCACATGCAGCGGGGCCCCTCCCAGCATGGTGGCGGAGCTGGGCGGGCGGTCCGCGGGAAGTCTGGACCCTGGCGGCCCAGCAGCAAGTCTGGACCCTGGCGGCCCAGCAGCCCCGTAACCTTATCAGGGCCGCGAGGGAAGGCGTCGGGTTCCAGGCAAATGCGAGGGCCGCTCTGCCTCTCTCCAGGAGTAGCTTCTGGTGCGCAGAGCCAGTGGGAGGAAGCCACCTCACTGCCTGCCACCTTGGAAGTGTGGGGTTCCGCGCCCTGGGACCTTGGGAAAGCCGGCAGCTGGCAAGTCTCCGCTTGAGCCCTAAGAAGTAAGACCGTCGCTTTCATCGCAAAAGTGGTACCCACCTCCTGTTCGGCCTCCGGGTGTTATGGAGACGTTTTTATCTCTCCGTGCAGAAACTTCGTCCCCACCACGAGCACTGCTGTGCCCGGCCCCCCAGGAGCCGTCCCCTGAGCGGACCTAACCCAGCCGGACTGGAGCGGACACCATGGAGGGCAGTGAGCCCCTCATCCTCTTCCTCTGGGATGCTTGTCTCCTGGGAGTTGTGGGAATGACTGCTGAGCCCGAGAGGCTTACCTGTAGTTTCTGGTTCTGAGAGAAGAGGCTCTAGTCACAGCCGTCGCAAGCCCCAGGGGCTGCCTGGAAGAGGTGAGGTGAGCGTGCAGGGCCCTCACCTCTGTGAGAGACCCTCCCGAGATGCCGGCAGAGCCCACCCTTCATGGACAGTGTGGGGGCCCCAGGCTGGAAGCACTGGGCGGTCCAGACATTGGAGCCAGACATTCTCTCCAGCCGAGAAGTGAGGTGTCTGCCTCACCAGACGGCCCCAGCCCTTGGCTTTGAACCTGCTTGTGCCGCATCGCAGGCCCCTGGCTGCAGCACAGCCAACTCCTCCCCAGGCTGGATCCTCCGCAGTGAATCCAACAATTCACAGGACACCTCACAGCAGCATTTACCACCCACACACATGCACGGGGGACACAGGATGACCGTGACACCCTGCCGGTCCTCAGGTCTAGGAGGGGCGTGAGCACCTAGAGGGCGGGTGCAGGACAGGGCTTGAGCACACGTGGACAGAGGACAGGTGTCCCACCCCGCCCGGGGGGCGCTTCCTGAGGGGTCGTAGGCGTTGACCGAGGGCAGGGAATTGGGAAGAGCGAGGTGGGGGACGAGGTGCCAGGAACAACGTGTATGTCAGGGAGCTACACACAGTTCATTCCTGGAGGACGAAGCAAGATAGGAGCGTTTGAGGCGGGGGGCTGGACGGAGGGGCCGAGCCACAGAAGTTACGGTCTCGGCCATAAAAGGAACGCTCTGCTGTCTGGGGAAACAAGACGTGCACACGCGGCATGACTTAAAACACCCGAGAGACTCTCTGGATAAGCTCTCAGCTACGTGGGAGCTCAGCTTCTCTAATGGGACCTGGAGAAAGCCTGCTTCCTCTGCTGGGGGCCCCCCAGGTCGCGACCTCCTGGCAGCCCGGGGTGCTCACTGACTTCAGCCTGCATGCAGCCTAAGGTGCTGGGAAAGTCCCTTGAAACAGGCCCCAGGCCCCAAGGGAAGGCCTGTGGTCAAGCTCACCAAAAGCCACCCCAAGGCCGTCTTGCCTTCCCTGGCGGAAAGAGGCCCCTGGGAACAAGCCGCACACAAAAATCTCCCCTTCCTGCTCACACCACCTCCCCAGCCCCCTCGCCCCCACGCACCGAGCGGCCATCGGAGGAGAATTGACATGACGTGGTACCTGCAGTCTGCGAGGGGACAGGGCCGGAAACGGAAGGAGTGAGGATCGAACAACGTGACTGGCTCCGTGAAGGTGGCGGGTAATTATCTGATTGCTCAAGTGAGGACAGGTGACTGAAATAGGACAGGCTAAGGTGGCACTGTTAGAAAGCAATCCCATGGTCCAGGGCCGAAACGGCGGAGTTCACTTCTCAGTCCGCATGCCTGTCGGGGACGCGCTGGCGGCTCTGCTCCACGTCATCGTCGGCCTTCCTCTGGGACCCTGGTCACTGAGAGGTCACCATCTGGGGCACTGTCCTTGTCGTGGCAGAGGGAAGGACATGCCCCTAGAAGGGCCGGGACCAGCCACACGCCCCACTCGGCCACAGGCGTGAGGAAGTCAGTCCTGCCTCGGGCCTCTGTCCCGGCAGAATCTTAGGAGACTCCAGGAGCAGGTGATCTCTGAGCTGGGTGTGGAAGTGACTGTCCCTCAGGCTGACAGAGATGAGAAGGCCGAGGAAGACGGCTTGTGTCTGTGGCCCCAGGGCTCAGCTCATCACTCTAGTAGTTGGAGATGTGCTTCTTCACGACAAGCCCCACCCAAAGGATGTTCTCAGAGGTCGCCATCGACCTTCTTCGGGCTTTGGGGAGCGATTACGAGGCGCAGGTAGGTTTGAAGGGGAGTCACGGGGTGAAGATACGCCTCATTTCTCCAGGAAGAGGAATTCACGAAATATCAACGGAAACCCTTAGGGGCAGATGTTTCACATGCTTCTCAAGCGTCTTCGCGCTGAGAGAGCTGAAGTCATGGAGGGGCCGTCAGGAGCGAGGGCTTGTCGCTGTGCTTTGTGATTTGGAACTGTTCTCGGCGTCACAGGGAGTCTGTGCCTTTTTCTGCCTGTACTTACAGCACACCTAGAATCGCTGTTTTTCGCCCGTAAGCCTCGTACATAAACTCTGCCCTTGTGCCGAGGCGGGTGAGTGAGTGTGATCTGCCGCGCGGCATGGCAGTTACTCCTCATTGTCTCGGGACAGCCCAAGGGGGTTGCTGTGCAGAGGGAGAGCCTGAGGCCGGAGTTCCGGTCAGGGTCAGTAACTAGCCTCAGGACCACTCGATCTCTCCACTTGTGAAACTGGCACCTGCTCTCACCCACCTCGTAAGGCTGTTTTGAGAAGCAAGTAAGATCGTGCCTGATGGATAAGGTAATTGATGAAAGCACCTCGGAAAGCTAAAATACCCGTAAAATCATGGTGGTGTGGCTAATAATGTTGAGCAAATGGGTATTGAGGAAAATTGGAACAACCCGAGCGTGTCTTGCGTTCCCCGTGCCTGACGGAAGGCGGCAGAGGGCGCACGAAGAAGCTGATTTTGGTGAACGTGAGCAGAGCGAAGGCTGCCACCGTGGGCTGAAGGGCATGCGACCGAGAGGCTCCGGCGGGAAGGAGAACACGCCGCCTCCGCCACGCTTGCCTCCCGAAGTGCCACCCCTCGTGTCTCCAACGAGGCAGCACGCTCTGAAAGCCCGTCAGGGGCCTGGCACCCGACGGTGAGCGGAACGCGCGTGTAACACGCCCTTTTGAAAGGAGGTGTGCATGCAGGCTCCGTACTGCTTCACGAAGAAGCAGCAGGACACTGGGGATGAAGGGCACGGACGACCGGGTTCGAATCCTGCCGTGCCAGGCCCCCCGCCCGTGACCTCTCTGGGCCTTGCTTTTCCCACCTGCGAAATGGAAACAATGACAGTCCTACGCCGCTGGGTCGTTACCAGAATTAAATTAAATAAGTTCACATCGGCGTAGTGTGCTTGGAGCGGTGCCTGGCACGTAGTAGGTGTGGCGCTACCGTTTGTTGAATAAGTAAGTGGGTTTCATAATCCTTGAGAAGAGAAGGCCCTCCCTCCCTTGCTTCGCCTGGGACCCCAGGGCAGACGAGAGGACACCTACCCGAAGCTCCCCTCCGGCCCGAGCGGGCGGGAGAGGGGTGGCCGGTGCACACGGCACGCAGGCCTCGGCCCGCGCCGCTCTCGAGCGCTCCAGGAGGCCGGTCCTCGCGGGCAGCGCTGGCACAGAACCCACGTAAGTCCCGACCGGAACCCGGGGAACGGGGAGCCGTGGGCACAGAGCCGGGGCCTGTGGGATGGGCGTCGCGTCGGTCCCCTCGATGCGTGTCTAAGAATGGGGTGGGGGGAAGGAGAGGAGGCGGCGCGCGTGCCGTGTGGGTCCGCGGTGGCCCGGTGAGTGGGGAGGTGGGCGGGACAGCGGTCCGCTGACCCGACCCACTGCTTCTCTTCGTCTTTCTCTCTCTCCTTGCCCGGACCCCCTCCTCCCTGACCTGTCCTCACCTTACACCTGCACGGGAGGCCCCGGCTGGGGAGCCGAACAGCTGGGCTTCTGGGGCTGCTGAGACAGCTGTGGGGTTGGGGAGCGGCATGTCGACCATCCAAACCAGAGCGCCTCTCAGCTGACACCCGCCCCCAGCTTCCTGCGAGGCTGGCCGCGTCGCATTTTCACACACCAACGAGTTCTCAGGCAGCCACGTTACCCGTAGCACAAAGGGTCTTTGGCACGGTGAACGCAGAGCGGGCCAGGCTCCCTTTCCCACCCGGACGTCTCCATTCTTCGGATCCAGGTCTTCCCTGGGGGGTCTCCGGAGGCAGGCCGCAGGGCTCTGTCCGCTGCCCTGGCTTGTTAAACATTTTTGTTAATGACTTGGTTGAAAAATAGAAGGACTCCAGAGGACCCACAGCTGGGATAGTTCACATGATACATGAGATATTCAAGTTCAAATGATTTCTAGAGAAAGGGCCGCCGGGCCAAAATCAACATAATGAAATGAAACAGGGATGAATGTGGAGTCCTCTGCGTAGCTTGAGGAACATGCCATGCCCCGGTGCAGGACAGACCCGGCTTGGAAGTACACGGCCATTGGTCCCTCGTTTCAGAGACGTTTATTGGGCCTGCTGGATGGTTTCTCAGAGGGAGGCAGATACGGGGACAGAATCTCAGTCAGCTGATGGTTTAGCGGTGGTGATGGGACGTGACTGGATGTGTCTCCGAGTAAGCGCTGGGCACAGGGCACCCTGAAGTGGTATGTAAGGGACAGCCGAGAGGCCGAAGTGCCAACGGGAGGTGGCCTTGAGATCGGGAAGGCGGAGAGCCGTGGGACAACCGAGGGACGGGTGTCGGTGTTCGGCCAGAGGGGACAGCGAGGGCAGAGTGACTGCATTTGCAGTCGGGGATCTGGGAGAATTTGGCTCCCTTATGATCCTCAATTTTACCCCCTTTAGCGTTTAAAAAAAAAAAAAAAAAAAAAACCTGGGAGAAAAAGACAGTTCTGCTGCACGTAACTGTTTCCAGTTTTCTGTGTCCTTATTATTTGTAGCCACACACGTGATTCTTACAAAGTTATAATGTGCGCACAACTCCGTGCACTATCTTGCCACTGATGTTATTTCCAAGACAATCTCCTTTTCGTGCACGGTCACGTTTTTGTTTTAAATATCTACGTGATATTCTACTGTACAAATCTACTGCAATTTATTTCATCGTTTTTCTATTTTGGGACATGGCATTTGCTTCCACTTTCTCCGTATTATAAATAACGCAGCTATAAACAGTACACATATCTTTTCTTCTCCTTTTGAATGGTTCCTTTGGAAGCGATTCCCAGGAGCAGCATTATTAGGCCGGAGGACCCGAGGGTTTCGGTGGCCCTCAGTGAGGGTAGCCAAATCGTCCCTGGCCTGTCCTGCTTCCGCAAAGGCTCACGGTCCTCAGCGTGTCCACACTGCAGACTCGGTGAGACGTGCCAGCGAGGGAATGTGAGTTGAGAGCCACCGAGCAGCCTGGTTCAGCACAGAGCCCCATCCTCCCGGGCCCTCCTCGGGGCCCCCTTCACCAGCGAGGAGGGGGCAGGAGGGCAGGAAAGGGGTGTGGACAGCCTGGGAAGTGAAGCAATCATCTGGGACTTCCTGCTTGAGCAGCTGCAGATACGGGGAAATTACATACCGGCAGGAAGGGGGCAGGGCAGAGTGAGCCTGGGGACGCTGAGACCCCCCCCACCCCAGTCCTGGATGGAGGCAGGTCACCCGGCGTGTCTGCAATGGCCTCTGGGGACGGATGGACTCGCTCCTGGGAAACTTCTCAGCCCTGGGTGACAGTGGTCTGGGCTGGGAGGAAAAGCGGTCACTCGCTCACTCACTCGCTCGATGTTGGAGGAGTGTCCGCTGTGCTCAGTTCTGTGCTGGGGAGTCTGGGCACGAAAGGGAACAGCACTTGGACCCCGCCCGCAGGGAGCGCGCAGTCTAGTAGGAGAGTCCGAAGGACGACAGGTGTTGACGACAGTTTGAGCGAGAACTCGAGCAGGGCTGTGCTCAGGACACAGCCCTGAGTGGCGCCTGAGTGGCAGGACGGGCTTCTCCAGGGCGGTGAGGCCTGCTCTGAGTCAGGAAGGATGAGATGAGCATGGGGTGCGGGGTGTCCGCTGGCGGGGCGGCAAGAGGAAGGGGAGCGTGTGAAGAGGGACTGGACGGAGTTGGTGACCAGGCCGGACTGGGGGCCACTATGACGTGATTCAGTGGGGAGCTGGGGCTCTGGGGGGCTGGCTGTCATCGCCTAAGGGGTGGCTTTGAAGCCACATCTGTGGAGCAAGCACACTTGCAGCCGGAACTGGACATGCGTTCGGGAGGCCGATGCGGCACGAGCCACCTCGAAAGCCACCTTCGCGTCTCTCTCTTTATCCTCAGAGCACTGGGGGTGGGGGCGGCGGGACTTCTGTGGTCAGATGTCCACTTTAGAAAGTTCATTCTGGCTGAGGTTCAGGGACTAGATAAGAGAGACATGTCACCGACATGTTAGGGGCTGGTGGGTCGTCTGGACTGAAGACCAGGCAAGCTGAGCAGATCACCTGTGCTGAGCACCTGTGCGGGTCCAGTGTGGGGGGGGGGGGGTGGAGGGGGGGGGGGGGGGGGGGGGGACATGGGCGCTGCGGGAGAACCAGGGGACCGATCCCGTCTAGCTGGGAGAAGCCGGGCACAGAGGTGCAGGAGTTCAGGGCCCCGGACCAAACGCCATCACGAAGTCGCGGCGGGATATTGAGCAGACTGCACGGGACCCGGGCCCCTTGCCAGGACGCCAGGACGCTAATGCCCGCCCCCGCTGCCGGGCTTATCGGGAGGATGGAAGGAGGTAACGTGCCCTAGTCAGGGCCTTGGAAAAGGAACAGAGAGAGCACTCGCTCCGCGGCTGCGTGGTGGTGTCACTTCTGCGTTGGGAAAACACGGGAGGTGTCTGGAAATAACTCAGACCCCGAGAGAGAAACAGGCGCTCTGGAGCCGGGGCGTGCGGGGGGCCGGGAAGGCACCCCACTCGGGCCTCTGCTTCCTCCCACCCAGGTGGCTTCTCTTTGAAGCGCAGAGCTGTGGACAGGTCTGGCCAGACCCAGGCTACTCTGCTCAGAGGCAGAGGCCGGATTTGCAGCCACAAAGAGGAAGGCAGAGGTGGGCGGGCGGGACTTCCTGACTCTGGCGTCTGGGTCCCTCTCGGGCCCGGTCCCCAGGGGCCAATCAGGAGGCCCTGGGCTCTGAGGAGAGACCTGCCGTCCACACCAGGGGTACCGCTGTCCTATCCCTCCATCCAGGAGCCTGGACGGGTCCAGACACAGTCAGGGACAAAGTTTGGGAGTTCTGGGCCTCCCCACCTGCCCGGTGGAGTGTTCCGAGGTTCAGAGCACTGGGTAAGCACCAAGTGGGGGGGGCGGCCGGCTTTGCAGCCCCGGCAGTGGCTCTGGTGCTTTTGCCCTGTCACCGGGCCGTGAGCAAGAGGGAGCCTGGCGTGAAGGGGACAAGGGGGACAGCCCCCAGAGGTGGCTTCTGTCGCTGGGTTCACGCCAGTCCTGGTGAGCTCAGGCTCCCCACCAAAGCGCCCCGGGCTGGGGCTTAACCCCAGAAAGCACCCCCTTGCAGTCCGGAGGCCAGAAGCCCAAGATCGAGGTGTCGGGGGGGCTGGACCCTCCTCTCGGCTTTAACGGGGTGTGTCCCAGGGTCGTCCGTCTGTGAGTGTCTGCATCCTGATCGCTTCTTATAAGGACAGACGTCGCGTTGGACGGGGGCCCATCCTAGGACCTCATTGTAACTTATCTCTGTAAAGACCTTCTCTCCAAACGCCGTCTCATTCGGAGGTCTGGGGTGTTAGGGCGTCGGCATATGAGTTAGGGGGACACAGGTCAGCGTATAACAACGCCCCCCACCCCGAGACCCAGAGCCTCGCTTCTGGCCATGGGTGAGAGCGGGAAGTTTGCAGTGGGGATCACCCCTCCCCGCCACAGCCACAGGGCGGGAGTGGATTCCCAGGGCTCCGCACACCCCACCTGTGGTCAGGGCCCACGTTTCGGTCCGAGCCTGGCCACCCTGCCATGCCTGTCCCCGGCCACCAGAGCACGAGCTCTCTGCACAGGCAGTGAGGCTGCGGGGCTGTCCTCACTGTCCCCAGGCTCCCCTGCCCCAGGCACAGCTTCCCTCTCCACTCGTGAGATGGCGATGGCCTGTGTCACCCCCCCACACACACACACGAGTGCCCCTCAGGGACTGTGACATGCTGCTTCCCCGCCATCCGAGCTGCTTTCGGCCCCCTGGTCTTGTACGCCCCAAGCACAGCTTCCCTCTCCACTCGTGAGATGGCGATGGCCTGTGTCCCCCCCCCACACACACACACGAGTGCCCCTCAGGGACTGTGACATGCTGCTTCCCCGCCATCCGAGCTGCTTTCGGCCCCCTGGTCTTGTAGGCCATGCTCTTGCTGGCCTCTCTGCCTGGAACCTCCCTCTCCTCCCCATCATCCTGTGGGAGTTTTGTGGCTATGGGGGTCTTACTCCCCAATCTCTGTTCCATTTGGGGGCCACGTCTACTTAGCCAAGACGAAGGGGTGAGGTCGGCATGAACCAGCCCACTCCTGACATGCCGGCTGTCACGGGGGGCGCCGAGGGCAGCGGGAGGAGGCTGAGCCCGTGACAGGCTTTCTCCCAGTTGTCCCCGAGAGGGTCTGTTCTCTCCCCAACTCCGCTCTTATCTGGGGCAGGCCCCCAGATGTTTCCTGTCACCCAGACAGCCCCCTCTCCCCCCAGGAGGGCGGAGATTTCCCACCTCCGCCCAGGCTCCCCTCACAGAGCCTGGGACTCCCGACTTATCTGCCCTGGAGAGCTTTTGAGCTTAAACGGAGCAGGGCCCTTTAAGGTTGGAGCCTCGCCGGGGCCAGATAGATACTGGAGCGAATTCCCAGCCAGGAGGCCTAGGTAAAAATACAAGCAGTTGTCAGCCTGGAAGCAGGCCCGGCCCTGCAGAGAGGGCCTGACCAGTTGCTGCCCGGCTGGGGACGCACATGCTAATTATGAAAATCGTCAGCGGCGTCCGAGCTGATGAACCTTCCATCTTTTCGCCCATCCTTCCGAATTCACTTCCAGTCTCCGTCGATGCATATCCGTCTGTCCGTGCCGTCGACGCGTGTCCGTCTGTCCGTGCCGTCGACGCGTGTCCGTCTGTCCATGTCGTCGACGCGTGTCCGTCTGTCCGTGTGACCCGCGTCGCTGTGTAGGAAGCGCTGAGTCTCTCAGCCTTGCTCGTTCGTGCCACACACCTTCATTCTCCACGTGTTGAACTGTCAGCGCTCGTCCTTCTTAGTAGAAACGGTGTTTTATTGTCTTCGCACTCTGTAGGTTACTTTAACGCTTCTCTAAAATTTAGTATTCGGAGGGCTTCGAAATTTTTACCTTTGTATGAAGAGCGGGGCTGTCGATAATTTCGTGTAAACTGTACTTTTCCTCTTTATTTCCTTAGTGTATATTCTAAAAACAGAACAAAGCATCGGGGCGTTCTCGTTACACAGTCCCAGATCATCGTGTCGAGGCGGGGAAGCCTTAATCGATGTGTGATGCCAACGGCGATTTTGAAGGGAACGATTTTCCCCGTAATCCTGGCCATCCCAGCTTTTTCGCATTCTGACGTATTCTGCCAACCCGATAGAGGTACAGTGTTGCCTTGAAGTCGATTTGCATTTTACCATTGGCCGTCAAGGTCCTGTATGTTCCCAAACGCTGACTCTGGCTCGGCGTTTTCGCCCCTTGCTCTGGACGGCTTCTGCTCCAGCTGCTTTCTGGCGTTCATTTTACGTGGAGGTCACAGGTGTGAACGTGTCGTGTGGTCTCCCTGAGTGAGCGTCTCCCCCGGCAGCCTCTGCCTCCACTCAGTCTTCTGTAGATTGGAGCCGTGGTCCCCAACCCTGGGTGCATGTGAGGGTCCCGTGGGGAGAGCATGAAATATGGGCCCCCCTGGGAATGAGGCGGGAAGCCGAGCGGGCTGCTGGTCTCACCCAGCGCGTGGAGACCCGGAGGCCCAGAAGCCAGAGCCTCAGACCCTGTCCAGTGGTTGCTGTCTTTAAATCAGTCAGTGTTAACTGCATCCCTACTGTGTGTCGGCGACTCTACTAGGAATTGGGGAAAGCCGGGGTCAGGACAGTGGTGCGCGCCTTCAAAGAGGGTCAGACTCCAGTGAGACAGACAGACGGTTCAGGGTGGCTAGGGAGTGTTATGACAGAGGTCACAGAGGTGGCAGTGATGACGCCACCCAGGGGAGAAGTCCACAAAGGCTTCTTGGAGGAGGCAGCAAAAAGGTGGGTCTCAGATGATGAAGAAAATCTATCCAGGCGGGGGGCGCGGGGGCCGCGTCTGCAAAGACACAGGCGTGAAAATGTCGGGATGGCAGCTCCGGCACAGCCCTGTCGCCTTGGACAAGTCGTTCAGCCTCTCCGAGCTCCGACTCCACCGTCCACACAGATCATAACGCCTGCTGGGCCGGTGGCGGTCACACGAGGTCACCTTTATTGAGCACTAAGTGTAGCGCTTGGCGCATGGTTAATATTCAATACACGTCCGCTGTTATCACTGAGAAAGTATCATAGTTTAGGGAGGAGAGACGGTCCGGGCCCTCATGTCCCACGCTACGACGATTTGATTGTCCAGGAGGTAGCGCACCGTCGGTAAGCCCAGCAAAGACGTGACCGCACAGATTTTCGACAGATGGTTTGGGCAGCAGCGGGGAGAATGGATAAGATAGAGAAAAGCAGAAGCAAAGGAATCAGTTAGGTGACGGTGGCCTCACCCCACAATCAAGGGAGAGGGGCCGGGGGCATTTAAGTGCGGTGACCACAGCGGGGCCACAGGGGCCGCGGGGAGACCATCTGGAGAGGACAGAATGGCGGGGCTCGCTCAGCTGCTGGGCACGAGGGCGGGGAGACGAAGCCGGCATCTCCTCAACCCCTCACCCTCAGACCGGCCCCGTAGACCGGCACCGTATCCTCCCGAACGGGCCTGGCATCCCTCAGCTTGGTGGCTCCCGGGGACTGACTTCCTGTCGGAGCAGCACAAGGACCCCTTGTTTCCACAACCAGATGGAGGCTACGTCTCTCCCCGAGGAAATGAGCTCGGCTTCCGCGAACCCTCCGTCCTGGAGAGAAACCTCAAGCTTGGAGACTCGGGGCCTGCTCCAGACCCCACTGCAGGTGTCCGGGCGTCCGCGGCTGCTGCGGCGTGTGGTCCAGGCCCGGCTCCGCCCAGGGAGGGTGGCCCGCAGGAGCGATGTGCTTTGCAGAAGGAAAACGGCTCAAACCAGATATTGCCTTGTTTGTTTTCCCCGTAAAGAAAAAAAAAAGGCCATGGCACTTACTTTTTAGAGATCCGGCAGGTATTTTTAATTCCTCAAGCTTCCCGCTGTCTACAGGTGTTTCCTATGGCATCGCTATTGCTATCGGGAAGGACGGAGCCAAGACACAGTCAGCTTTGTTCTTGAGACTTCCAAAAAGTGTCCCTGCTCCGACCTCTGCGTGCCACCTCGGGTCCCCTTTGGGCAAAGACCTCTCCATGAACTGCCCTGTGTCCCCGCCATTCGCTTGCCAGGCCAGGTGGGGCCGGGTCCTAGTGCCAGCCAGTAAGAGGTACCGATGGGATCTTCGGTCTCTAGCGATAACTCTGGCTCCTGAGTCCCTAGCCAGGGGGCATTAGTGACACAGCTGCTGTGCCGCTCCAGCAGATTTATTCTTCACTTCTCAAACGTAGGACCACCCTCCCATCTCCAACCAGTTGTGACAGACAGCCTTGTGCAACAGGTGCGGAGGCCTTTGCGATGGCAAGGCAGAATACTTGTTTATTTGTACCCCCCAAAAAAGTTATGCATACGCTAAAACTTTGGGGCCGGACGTGTTTTTCGTGCACCGGAGAAGCCCCTGCTGGGAAATCCCTTCGCGAAGTGAAGAAACCATTAGCAAAGCAACGTAATCCCTCTCGATTTCTCCACGGGACAATACATGCGAATCGATGGAGGCTTGTTTCTGTCTTTTAGAAGAAGCCAAACAAATGTTCATAGAATGCTTTTATGGCACAGCGTCTGTTTCGAGCCTTCACGGCTGTCCGTGGGTCGGGTGTTACGGATGGAGATGTTTTACTGGTTAGGAGGCTAAGGCTCAGAATGGCGAAGGGGTCTGGCAGCTGCTGAGGCAGGAGCTGCACTTGACTCCAGGTCTTCTCCTCCTGTCTGGGGGTCTACCCCCAAATCTCCTTAGAATTCAGTGAGGAGGAAATAATACCTTTGGTATTATTCAACACTCGGAACAGTGATTTAGTGATATATGTATAATAATTAAAAATAAATTCATCTATTACACCCCAAAACGCCTCCTGGGATTATCCGGGAAAACAGAATAGGCTAAAAACTTCTTCCTGAAAACTGGAGTAGCCAAACATTGCAGGCAGACTTTCTTCTGAGGTTTGCTTTTTTTTTTTTTTTTAACAGAGCTGATGTTCCAAACAAAATCAATAGATTGTACTTTAAAATCTGGATTTAATCATCTCTTGAAAAATCAGATCACTTGGTGACGCTGGGTCTCAAACGACCTTTTGAAAAATGACTCAGTGTGACCCACTTGGGCAGGGGGCTGCAGCTGAGTGGCAGCGGCCCCTCTCCCTCGGAGGGCAGGGGTTTCTCCCACCCCCACCCACTCCTTTACATGGCCTGCCCTGGACTTTGCAACGCCCACCCTGAAAGGTGAGGGAGAGGGGCGTGGAAACGGGGCGCCAGGTACCCTCAGGGTCAGAGAGCGCTGCATGTGGGAAGTCTCCACCCCAGCCACGCTCTGGACGGCCAAGCATCAGCCGTGTCCCCCTAACTGGCAGGTCCTGCTCGGAGTCTGCGGCTGGCATCTGTGTTGAGTCAGACTCACTGCGTTCCGAGCCCAGCTCCACCGTACGGCATGTGACTCTGGGAAAGCCGCTTTATCTCTGTGTCTTTGTCAGAGGGGACTGGGAACAAAATAATATCTACTTCCTAGGGCCGTCAAGAGGATTATGCGAGTTACGTCTTAAGTGAGGTGCCTCGTACGTTGCAAGCAAGGAGTCAACTTTGATTCCTGTCCCCTTTTCTGTTTCCAAAACCGATGAATACGTGGTCCTCTGGGGACGTGGTCTGTTCATCACCAGGGATGTGTTGAAATTCAGGGCGTGGGGCCTAAAGGAAATCACGTGTTTCTTTGTCCTCTCTCTTGTCTTGCGATTTGCTTTTTCTGAGAGTATGTGTTGAACTGGAAGGGGACATTTTGGCTTCGGATTGATCATTTCCCTGAGCTCAGAGCGGGGTGTAACAGGGAAGGGACAGCGTTTAAACAGTGCTCAGGGCCACTGCAAACAGGGGGAATTGGGCTCGATTTTAGTAAGCCCCAAATAGCTTCGAGGGACACATATTTAAACCTGGCGACACAACATCTTTATGGAATCATTAACTTCACCCCCTGTTTCTCCTCCCCTACGGGCATGTGCGTCCTGTCCCCAGCCCCTCGGGCCCTGGTTTTGATATTTTGAGAGGACAACTCTGTAGTATTTTCAGAAATTTGTCCCCTTGTTCAAACCACACTCTACCAGAGGATTTAAGGAGTTAGAGCTTGAAACTCTTATGCTAGTATTTTTTTTAAATTTTTTTTATTTGATGTTTTTCATATTTTATACCTTGACAACTGGCTTTCTTTCCCTTGAAAACATATCACGGACAGCCCTGCTGATCGGTTCTAATTTACTCGTCCAAACGCACACACGGTTCACATAGCTGACGGAGCAAGCATGCTGGGGTGTTACAGGCAGTGTTTGTTTTTTTTGGGATTTTCTGCCCCACATCGGCCCCCTTTCCAGTTTGTCATGGAAGTTTGCAGTGCTCCAGTTCATTCTTTCTAATGGTTTCGCAATAGCCCATTACGCGAATGGACCATGAAACATCACCCCTTTTGTGGGTGTTCATTGTGTGTCCACCCATTTGCTGCCCCACGCAGGGCTGCAGTCAGCTTCCTTATCCTGCTACGCCGGGGCTTTATGGGGTGGATTCTCAGGAGTGTGGGGCTGAGCCGAAAGGTTAGTGTAATCTAATTTAATAAATGCTGCCAGATAACTTCCTCAAAAGGCTGCAGCAACTCATATTTCCTCTAGCAATAGATGAGGGTTCTTCTTCTCATTTACCACAGTAAGAGCTGGTTCGCTCTCTCTCCCTGCCCCACAGCATAAAGAGAAATCTTGGTGTTAATTTAATTTGCATTGCCCTGACAACTGCTAAGTTCCAGCATCTTTTTATGTTTACTGGCTTTTTGGATTTGGTTTTCTATGAATTGCCGATTGATAGCCTTTTTACATATTTTTCTTGTCATTTTGCGGGAGAGCTGTGTATAACAGATAATATCTCCTTTTCATCTGTTACAAATAATTTTCAGATCTGTTGTTCTTGCTTTACTTCATTTATAGTATTTTTCCCATAAAAAAGTCATATATATATATATATTTTATAGTTAGAGGGCTTTTTTAAAAATAGAGCTGCTGGGAGTTCTCTCTTAGCGAAAGAGGGAAACATTTCCTTTTAACGCTCTCTCATCCTCTGCTCCGCTGTTACGTCCGACGTTTCAGCTAACGCATCTCAGTTTGCCTCCAAGATGTTACGGACC